GTGTTTGAACGTAATTATTAAGACAAGTATTTCTGCACCCATGGCAATTTATTTTATAAACAATTTTTGAAGGCTGGCTATACAGTGGGTTTGTACACTAATGGACTTTTGTTTATTCTAGAGTGTTTTCAACAGGACACGATAAATAATAGGGCCTCAGCGATTTTCTGGAGAGCTCTGGAATCTTTTTTTTTGTTAAATTTAAGGGAACTGCCATAATTGAGAGACTTTTGGCTTTCACTTTTGATTTTGAGTGGGTTAGCCCTGTGAAGACCTTAGCACAGGATGTTTGTATAATCCAGTGTTCTTGGAAAGAGAATGACAGATAAAATAAACCAGATTCCTTTGGAGTTAAAGTTAGTGTTAGTTCCAGACCAGAAGTGTTAAGAACCTGGAAATGGTTAATTAAGTGAGCATGTCAAAACTTAAGTATTTGACAGCTCCTAGAAGATGCCATCTGCAATTTTAATTGAAGTTGCAAGTCACTTAAACCTACCAACATGTTAGATACATTAATTCTAGTGTGATTATTATACGGGCTGTGATTTGAGAGCTGTACCAGGAATTGCGTATTTGGTACCACACCAAAGCTGCTTTGTTCCCTTTCAATTTAAGGGGTGTTTTGGGATTAATGGGGTTATCATTTCACTGTGTGTTTAAAACCTTTGCATTTTCATCATAAATAGATGGTTTGGGTTATTCTATTTCCTTTTTGCGTCTTTTGTAATAAACTACCATTTCATTGTTAAAATAAAATCCGCAGTGTTTGTGTGCTTATGGTTCAGTGTGAAAACGCTTCATTAAAACCAAATCAAATAAAAATGTAATCTAGCAAGCTAGGTTCCTATCCGGGATTTGACTTGTCAGTAATAGCATCAACTGAGATCAAAACATGAGGAGTAATGTTTTCATTGAGAGGGCAGTGGGTCTCTGAAACTCATTGCTTGAAAGGCATGTTGGCATAATCGTAATGCAACTGGACTAGTGATCACAGGCAGACTACTACTCTAGTGAAGCCACAGGAGCTGGTGAAATTTAATTTCAAATGATAAAATCTGGAATTGAAGGCCACTTGCGGTAATCGTGTCCATGCTGTTATCATCACTTGTAACAACTGATCTTCTGAAGAAGAGTCCCGACCCAAAACGTCAACTTTCCTGCTCCTCTGATGCTGCCTGACCTGTTGGACCTCAGGCTCCACATTGTGTTATCTCTGGCTCATTAATATTCTTTAGGGAAAAGAAATTTGATGCCCTTGTCCAGTATACATTTTAATCCAGACCCACAGTAATGTTGACTCTTAACTGGCCTCTGAAATAGTATGTCAAACCACTTGGATTAAGGGTGGTTGCAGATGAGTTAGCAAATCCTGGTCCTGTCAGGGATGGCCACAATCCATGAAACAATGAAAGACAGGAAGTTAGAAGATTTGGAAGGATGTGTATTTCGATATGTATCCCTCCATTCCTTGCATATTCATGTGTTTATCTAAAAGTCCCTTAAATGGCCCTATCATATCTGCCTCTGCCACCACGCCTGGCAGTGCGTTCCAGATTCCTATCACTCTCTGTGCCCCTCACATCTCCTTTGAACTTTCCCCCCTCACCTTAAATGCCTTCCCCCTAGTATGTGACATTTCAACTCTGGGAAAAAGATTCTGACTGTCAACGCTATCCATTCATCTCATAATTTTACAGACTTCTATCGAAGAGAATGGATAGATAATGAGAATGATCTATCCTAACCTGTAGAATTGCAGGCATAATTGTTGTAAATGGGGATTAGGGCTAAATGGACCTTTTTCCCCTTGGAACACATGTGATGGACCAAATGGCTTCCTTCTGTGGTATGTTGATATTTGTTGAAACCTTCCCTGATGTCCATGTAATATATCCACTGTATCTCACCCATCCACCTTTGTATGTTAACTCCTCAAAGATTTCTGTGAGGTTTGCCAGTTACAAGTGTCCCTGTTGAAATTCAGACTGGGTACTCCTACGATTTGGGCAATGTTACTTGGGGATGAGCGATGAGGCTGAAGAGAACATACTATCAGAAGTTTAGCTCTAGATGAATAAGACACAGCGGCTGAAGTATGAAAGTTACTGGCAGGAGATTGGAATTGGCGGAAAGGATCTGGGTTTTGTGACACAGATTAAGGTGATAGCTTCATATCTCCTGGTGTTTAACTCAACTAAACTGCATCTCGTGTCAGACTGCAAATTGGACATGCAGAGGTAACGTCGAACAGATGGTGAACAGATAGAACTTGGTGGTATCAACAAATATGTAGAAGGTGATTCCAACTGCAACTGATGTTTTTGAATGATAAAATATAGGGAGGAAGTTGGAAAAAATAAGGATATTTCTGTACAGGACTCTATAGGCAATGCTGCAAGTGAGTGAGAGTATCCATTGCTGGAGATGCCTTAGCTATGATTGAACAACCAAGAGCAGATTCATATCAGGAAACTGAACAGTAGAGGAAAGTGTTAAGATCATCATTATTGATCTTTTATTTTTCTCATTTTTGGTTTGGAACTGTGAGTTGCAGTTGAGATTTGAACTTTAAATCGGACCCTTTTTTTAGAGGAAGAAGGGAACAAAAGATTGATGTTCTTGTTGGGAACTGGTCTGGAAAGATACTGCAGCTTAGTTACTGGTTGAAGAATACTGTAGACAAACTGGCACTGAAATGTTGTTATGCTCAGGGACTCGTGGCTGGTTGGATATTGAATTGGTCAATCAAGAAAAAAAATTGGTTTTGGACAGTCAAGCACAGAAAATATCAGAGAAAATATTGGGGCAACACGGTGGCTCAGTGGTTAGCACTGCTGCCTCACAGCGCCAGGGACCCGGGTTTGATTCCAGCCGCCAGTGACTGTCTGTGTGGAGTTTGCACATTCTCCCGGTGTCTGCGTGGGTTTCCTCCGGGTGCTCTGATTTTCTCCCAAAGTCCAAAGATGTGCAGGGTAGGTGGATTGCCAATGTTAAATTGCCCATAGTACAAGAGATGTGTAGATTAGGTGGCTTATAGAGGGATGGGTCTGGGTGGGATGTTCTGAGGTTTGGTATGGACTTGTTGGGCTGAAGGGCCTGTTTCCACACTGTAGGGATTCTCTCTGAATACAAAGGGAGAACTGGTTTTGATTGAGTTTTTAAACAGGAGACAGAGTTTCTTTGGAATCTGCCCACTAGATTGTTTGGTTTTGCTCCCTCTAGTTGATCTGCAGTTATCGGATTGCTGAGGGTCCTGAGAAAAGAACCCCAGATTATAAGAAGTAAGGACAATTCTCCGAAGGTCTGTGGAAGCTGTTTTTCTTGACTTCAGAATTCAAGCATGATACAGTCCTATGGGCCTGTAATGTAACCCATCAGATTTCAGGAAGAAATGGAATTCATTGAACCGACAATTTGCAATTTATTTTTATACCTTAACTGTATCTGTCTGTCTGTGTGTGAGTGGTGGACAATAGTCAAAGAAGATTGGGGGCTTAGATCATAGATGTTAGTTAGACAGCCTGTTGTTCATCTGTATTCTGCTAAAGTTATATTATTAAGAATAAATTATTAAGGCTTGTTTAAGTTATAAACTTGGTGCCTAAGATTGGTTATTTGTAGTCTGGTTTGGAATAATTGAACATTTTGAGGGCTAATGAATGTTTTAATTTCACTGTGTCTAGTGTCAGTGAATCTGATTTGGTCTGGTCTGCTATCTTTGTGTTATAACAAAAGACAGAATAGTTTTGTTTAGTGGCATTCACACGAAGAAGCAAGAGGTGGATCTCATTTGATAAGCTTGGAGATCAAATGATGGGAGAGAAAGAGAAACTAGAGTGAGAGACATGGCTTCAGGGCTATGGCAGGAAGGAGCCTGATGAGGAGGTTCGGCTTGGTAATGATGGAAAAGGAGCAGGGCAGCAGAAGCAGCTGAATGAATGATCTTAATCTTCGTGATAGAAGTTATTAGGCTTCTTTTGTTTGATGCTTGGAGGTGGGTATGGAGGAGACAGGTTGGAAAGGTTTAAGAAGAATAATCTGCATTTGAAAACAGCTTGGGTTTGCTCTCTTAGAACGTTGCACAGTTGCAAAAGAGAAGAGAGACCCAAGAGTGCGTGATGCAAACAACTATCAGATTGTAGCCAATCTACAGAAGACAGCATTTATCCTCTGAGTGAGCCAGTGAAGCTAAGGAAATCATAGGGATAAAACTTTTTGGGCAGCATAAATGCCATACTGAACAATTTTTATTTGCTAGATGTTATGCAAATATTGTAAGTGCTCTTAAAATATGATAATGAATTTCACATTTGCTCATTTTCTTCCCTCTTGAAGGTATTGGTTCTTGCAGGGCCACTGTCTACCAGTTGCTAACAGCCTCCAGCAATTTGTGTATTTGCCTAAAATGTGAATGTCGACTGTAGATTCATGGTCCAGTGATTAACAATGGGAGTCCTTTCCACTCTGTTGACTTAATACTCCAACCAACTTCATACTGACTGGCAAACAAAGCTGGGGTCTTCTGAATGGGTCATCACATGAGGCTATGTATTTACCCACTTGGCCACACAAGTAATTGTGTTAAGAGGCATTATAATAATTTTCTTAGTTAATGCATTCAGTTCTAAACTCTCCATTTTACGCTTTATGGCAGCTGTTTTTGTTCATTTTTATAAACTCGAACATATGGCTGACTGCTACTGAGTGTATTGCCTTCACAACCAGATGGTCTCTATTTGTATGGATGAGTTTTTTACTGCTTGATCTTGCCTGTCGTGACTCTTAGTCTGTGATGTTGGATAGAATAACTTGCACATGTTTAAAAAAAAGTGAACAAAAGTGTGTGAAAATTAAGCTGATTGGTTTAGTGTTTTATCACACATTCCTTAGTCTGCTATTTCAACTGATTGTGCCAAGGGTTTGTCTGTGAATGAAGCTCTGTTTTCATTTCATTGAGATAGTATTAGCAATTTACTCATTAAAAGGGAAATGAGACTTACTCAGATTGTCCTCATCCTCTGTATTTTCCAAACCAGGGCTGAAATACTTGAATGGACCAATGAACGAAGAAAGTGTGTTCAATTTATCTGGAAAAAGAAGCATTTAACAGAACATTAGTTTTATGGGTGGTACTTACCTTTGTTTGAGAAAAATGAAGGAAATACCTGTTATTCATTAAATTAATGACCGGCAAACAAATTCAAAGGTGTGTATGGTTTATAGTCTTGTGATTCATCACAATATATCTTTGTCTAGGGGAAGTAGGAACTTCAGATGCTGGAGAATCTGCGATAACAAGGTGTAGAGCTGGATGAACACAGCAGGCCAAGC